CCTGACACATATGTGGAAGTATTGCCACTCTGAACAAGTTTGGCAGTTTCTTATCAAGTTAAACCTACATGTGGTCTAGCAATTTTACTTTTAGGTATATACTCAAAATGAGCATATATGTATGTACACAATATTTGTACAAAAATGTTTCTTACAGCTTTATTAGTAAAAGGCAAAATTGGAAACATCCCAAATGCCTGTGAACAGGAGGATAAATAAATTGTCATATGTCCATACAAGTGAATATAGTGCAATGAAAGAAATAACTCCTGACTCACAACCTGGCTGACTCTCAGAGTCCTGCTGCGAGGAAGAAGGTGTGTACAAGAGTACCTAGCGTCCGACCCGTTTAGATCAAGTCCAAAAACAGGCGGGGCTCATCTGTGGGAGTGGATGTTGGGAGAGCCGTTACCCTGTGGTGAGGGCGAGACACTGGCTGGGAAAGGAGCACCGGGTGCTTTCTGGAGAGATGGAAGTACTCTGTATCTTGATCTGAATGGTGATATGTATGCACACAGGTGTACGCATGTAGAGGTTTCAAAATCTCTAAGATTTGGGCGATTTCCTATGTATAAATTATGCTTTGAATTGAAGAAAGGGGAAACCGACCCTGAACTTGGGTAGTGATGGTGGAGCCTGAGGCCAGAGTCAGTGTGTACAGTAAGAGTGGGCAGGAATTGATGACCCGCCACTGTGGAGATGGGTGTGCGAGGCAGAAAGCTGTCAGAAGCCTGGCAAGCGCCTTGGTCAGTTCTCATGAGGATGCCCGGGCTTTCTTGGGTGCAGGCTTACTTGTGTTCCCCGTAGTCACTCCCTGGCATCTCACTGGCACTTTCCCCTGCTGCCTCTCTGCCCAGAACCTGCGGCACTGTCCTCACTTGCCTAGGACTGCTCTTCTGACGCTTCCACAGGAGTGGTCCTCCTCTAGGGCCGGAGGCATCTGGTTTGGAAGTCTCCTACGTGACTTGGCCTAGGAAGGATCCCCTCCATTTAAGACCCACTTATCTGGTGCATTAAGCTGGGCCCTTGGGACACTCCCCCACTGCCACCACCTCCCCTGCCCCCACTCTACTTTACCCAGGTTGACACCCTAGAGGTGGTTTAGGTAGTGGTTATGAGCTTTGTCTGTGGGGTCAGACAGACCTGAGATTAGACCCCAGCTTCGCTCCTTATTATTTCCATGATCTCAGACACATGACCCAACCTGTACCTCAGTATCCTCAACTACAGAGCAGGGATTGCAAGAGTATCTGCTTTAGGGCTTTCGAGAGGATTAAGAGATGATTCCAGATCCAGTGCTTAGCACAGTGCCTGACACACAAGTGCGTGGAGCATGTTGCCCAGTTGCAGCAGTAGTTTCCACTGCCACTAACAGTCCTGTAATAACAATTGTGATAAAGGTGAGGTTTCCTCCCTCCTCTGCTGTGCTCAGACTCAGTGTCCCTTCAGCTTAATGACGACTCCCTTCCCTCCTCGGCGTCACCAGAATTCCCAGCCTTCGCTGCTTCTGTGCAGCCTGCTCTGCTGTCTGGACCCCCTTTGAGCTCTCAGCCTTGCCTCCCCATGTGTACAACTTCCGTGTCTTGTCTAACGCTTGTGCTCTGTCATGTACTTTTGGTAGTTTCTTCTGCTTAAGCTTCGTCCGTCACAAGATCCATGTTTCTGAGGTCCTGTTTGATGCCAGTTATGGTGCTTGGAGCCTGGCAGGGTCCCTGAGATCATCAGCTGGCCTAGTTCATTTCCTTTTCAGGAAAGAAGCCCCATGCCTTTATGGGCAGCACAGCGTGATTGAGTCTGGGTCACACACCGTGTAGGAATTGAACTGAACCTCTGGACTCTATCCCCTGAAGACTACTGTCTGTCCACTCCCAATTGTAATGTAAATCCAGGGGTTGGTGGACCTGCAGACAAAAGTATCTCCTTAGGTGCCATCAGTCTTGACTCCCCACCAGGTGAAATGCATTCCATGATGTCCCTGGCAGACGGGGTGACAGGCTGCCGTGGCTGGCATCCTGCCGGACATGTTCCCTCACCACCACCCAAAAGCAGCCCACACTAGAGCTCTAGCCTCTAGGATGCTCTGCCCTGTGCAGAACAGTCCTCTGCTGTCGTCATGGGTCCCTGATTTCTGCTCCCTGGTGAGAGCGGAATAAGTCAGCAGCCTCCTCCAGGTGCCTCCAGGGAGGCAGTTGGGATATCACTCTTGGAGTAGCCTCTCTCACAGAGAAATGGCTTCCAGACTCTTGCCAGTCCTCCTGCCCTCCTGTACGGCCTTCAGCCCATGATGCTCTCGTCTATTACTGACTAGTACTCCAGGGGAAGGCTGGCCTTCATCCCCTTCCTAGAATGCTATGAACGGTTCTAGGTTCCCCGCCCCCGCAACTGCTGCAGGTGGTAGTGAGGTGCCCATTGCTGGGAGACAGGGAAACAGAGGAAGGGAGTTCTTTTACGGGCGAGGATGTGGGTTGGAAAAGCTTCCTTCTCCCAACTTCACTGCCATTTCCTCCAGGATGGGACGGCAGTAAGTTTGTTTTACGGCACTGTTCTGAGGGCAGTAGCTGTTCAGACGTTTCTTCCTTAACTGTCTTCCCCTTCTCATTAAGTTATGCAGAGCAAATTCTGCATGTAGCATATATTTGCAGTCACCGTGATCTTTGATTCCAAGAAAAATCAATAAGCAGCAACAAGACACAAGCTGATCATTCATTCTTCCCTTTGATCTTTGACTGTCTGATAATTTGCCTAGTTCTTAAATTATGAGTAAGTTGTTACAGCATGGCACTTCTATTAAATGAAGTTAATAGAGACCAATGTAAGTTCACTACAGAAAATTTAAATGTAAAAATAGAAGCAAACCGATTATAATTCCACTCACTGAAAGATAGCACTGTTAAAACCTTGGTAAACTCTTCCGTTTCTTTTTTTCTGTATAGATGTACATCCTAAATGGGATCATATTGTACACATGCTTATTTCATTTACCAGTATTTTGTGAACATCTTTCATGGCAATAGCTGCATTCTATAGTGTCTTTTTTTTTTAATGGCTTCGTAATGTTCGATGTATGATTTTATCTAGCCAGTAACCTGTCAGTCAGGCTGTTTCCAACTTCACTAATAAGAACAGCTTTAGTGAACATAATCTTTATGTTAATTTTTAATCATCCCCTTTGGAATAATTACGGGAAGTGGAATTATTGGTTTAAATAATCGGAATAAAAGGCATGCATATTTTAAGGGCTCTCACAATATAGCATATTAGCAGAAATCTGTCATTACGTACACTTACTCTAAGTGGTGAATAGGCTAGAGCAGCCGTGGGCAAACTACAGCCCCTGGGCCGGATCTGGCCCGTTCGGCTGTTCTATCCGGCCCGCGGAGCCGAAAGAGTGGAGGGTTCTCTTGCACTCCCCTCTGCTTCTTCACCAGCGGCAGTGTTAACATGGCAACGTCGGGAAACACGGCCGCAGCTCCTTCTTCTGAGTCCAGTTTAAGAACCCATTGTGGCCCTCGAGTCAAAAAGTTTGTCCACCCCTGGGCTAGAGAGTATGGAGAGTAAGCCCTTGCTCAAGCTATGGAAATTAATGTGTCTCTTTCCTGTCCATAGGAAAACTTGAATCCCTTAGTAGTTCTGAATTTATTTAAGCAAATCCCAGCTGAAGATGTCCCTCTTCTTCTGATGAACCCAGAAGCTGGAAAGCCCTCCGATTTGATCCTCACGCGACTTTTAGTGCCCCCCTTGTGCATCAGACCCTCCGTTGTGAGTGATTTGAAGTCTGGCACCAATGAAGATGATCTGACAATGAAATTGACAGAAATCATTTTCCTAAATGATGTCATTAAAAAGGTCAGTGCTTCCCATTAGCATATCTCTGCAAACACTGTGAGCAAGAAAGTCAAGATGATGAGGCTCGTTTCTGTTCTTTCTCTGCTCCTTTTTAGCATCGGATATCAGGAGCCAAGACCCAGATGATCATGGAAGACTGGGACTTCTTGCAGCTGCAGTGTGCCCTCTACATCAACAGCGAGCTCTCAGGCATCCCCCTCAACATGGCGCCCAAGAAATGGACCCGGGGCTTTGTCCAGCGCCTGAAGGGAAAACAGGGTATGTTGCCAACAAAATGTGCAGGAGGCAGTTGACTGCCTTTGCTTGCTTGCGTGTTTGCTTGTTTTCAAATGCATGTCCAGCTTATCTAATTGGGGATCACAGACTTTCCTTGTGCCATGGAGACCTGTGACACATTTTTATTTATTTAGGTCGATTTAGAGGCAACCTCTCAGGAAAGAGGGTGGATTTTTCTGGCAGAACTGTCATCTCACCTGACCCCAACCTCCGAATTGATGAGGTGGCTGTGCCAGTTCATGTGGCCAAAATTCTAACTTTTCCTGAGAAAGTAAGTACCATTCAGCTGCTTGATTCTGTGTTTCGAATCCAGTCCTTTACATTATAGTTTAAGATGCCAAACAACAGACAGTGGAAAATCCCCCGTAGTCCCCCTCAATGCACAATTTGGCATGTGTTAGTATAGGTATCTTTCCTGTTTGTTTCATGTTTTACATATGCATCGCTATATGTAGTACAAGCAGAACTGTGTATGTACTCACAGATACATTAAATGTACTGTTCTGCAACTTTTTTCCCAAGTACTATCATCTTTAACATCTTTCTATGTTGCTTCATACCTCATGTTTTAGAGGAGCTAAATGATAAACACCACACACAGTTAATTTCCTTGGGATGGATTTTTATTTATTTTTTAAGTGAAAGAATTTTTTATATACACTAGAGGCCCGGTGCATGAAAATTCTTGCACTGGAATGGGGGTCCTTCAGCCCTGCCTGTCCCCTCTCACAGTCTGGGAGCCCTCAGGGGGCGGGAGGTGACCCGGAGATTGGGGAAGGCGACACCCCATCACACCTTTGCTCCTGCCACTTCCAGCAGCACAAGCCTCGCCGGCCCTGTTACCTAAGCCTCGGGCTGACCCTGGGTGGCTGGCTGGGCAGCCGCCATCTGAGGCTTGCCTGTGCCTCGGGCTGGCTCTGGGGGTTGGGGGGCTGAGGGGACTGGGTGCCGCCATCTTTAGGCTGGCTCTGGGGGGTTGGGGGGGTGAGGGGACTGGGTGCCGCCATCTTTGAGGGTGGGGCAGTCAATTAGCATATTCCCTCCTTATTGGATATGGGTGCTGCCATCTTTGCGATGGCGTGAAGGTCAATTTGTATATTCCCTCTTTATTAGATATGATATATTTTTATTGATTTCAGAGAGGTCAAGAGAGAGAGATACATCGATGTTGAGAGGGAATCATTAATTGGCTTCCTCCTGCACACCCCTCCACTAGGGACCGAGCCCACAACCTGGGTTTGTGCCCTTGACCAAAATCAAACCCAAGACCCTTTAGTCCGCAGGCCAATGCTCTATCTACCAAGCAAAACCAGCCGGGGCGGGGTTAAAACCTTAGAATCACTGAGTCAAGGCTTTGAGTATTTTAAGGCTATTGACGCATAACCAGAAAGGCTGCACCACTCTACCTCAGTGCACACTCACCATGAGTGTAAAATACACGGTACCCTTTTTTAACTGACGTGCACAAGGCCTAATATCAGGAGGCTATTAATTGGCTTTGCCTTTGAGATTCATAATTGGCCAGATCATAGACAGTTCTGGTAAAACTTACAGGAAGTGTCCTCAGTTGAGTTTCTGATGATTCAAAGTTTCCTGCTCTGAGATGGGTGTTCCAGGAGACTGTAGTCCTACAGGTTGTAGGACAGTGTTGCAGACCAGGGCCTCTGTGCTAGTGTCACCACATGGTAAATCATGGCAGATGGAGTGGCCACCTTTTTGGAAATCACAGTATGTGCTGGAATATTCCTCCAGATCAGTCCAGCCACACTCTTTTCTGACGGGGATACCAAAGGCAAGTGAAGGACTTGGCTGTGTCATCCATGAGTGAGTGACCAAGTTTGGACTAGAACCTGGGCTCCTGTATGCCAGTCCATTGTCATTACACACATGACCCTAGGCAACAGGATGCACAGGGCGCTGCCGTTCTCCCTCCTAGAACCACACAAAGAAAGTGAATTGAGGCACAATTCAGTGTATTGAATAACTAGTAGAAGTATAGGAAGTATAATCTAATAGCATCTCTTTGTGGTCCTGCAGGTAAACAAAGCAAACATTAACTTTTTGAGGAACTGG